GCAGGTAGCTTTTCAATAGTAATAGGAATTTATAATAAGCATTGTTTAAGTGTATAGCCTATACATCCTTAATAGCTCGATTCATTAACTGGAATATTGAATTCAGATGGAAACTTGATAATCACGATGTAAGAAACACACAAGTACTTTATTGCATACACTACCAGAGGTAGGAAACGTACGGCCTCCGTGCGCATTACGAAGCTTGATCCAAATATTCAATTACTTTCAAACGAGGAATAAGTGCAAATATCTCACTAACTTAAATTGTTTATCGGAGTTTAAAATTATTTTTCTATTGTATTTCTTTATAACATAATAAATTTATTTAAAAATACTTCTACTGATATTATTTTTATTTCAAGTGATATTTAAATATGTTTATTCAAAATTTATTTAAAGATCTGGTTGAATATATATACGCTTAAACTTAAACAAATAAAAATACCAACAATGAAATATACAAAATTATACCGGCCTTCTTTATTAATGCCTAATTTAAATGTGGCCTCTAATAGTAAAAAGGTTCCCCACCTCTGGCATATTTTCATACAAATAAGCGGAGAGAAGATAAGATTAATTGAAATTGAAGTAGAAGCAAAGCGTAGAATAAAAGATATAAAAAATTATATTCTATCAATATTTGTAATTAACTTACGACTTCGTGGAGTATTTGCCGCCCAAAGATAAGTCTGGATCAGCTCGCCTTATCACACGGAGCGCAGTGGGAACGCAGAACAATGCGTTTACACTATGTTGATCGATTACCCTGAAAAAAAAAAACGAGAATTTTTTAATGTGTGATCGCCGCGTAGAAATTCTAATCAGCAGCAATTACGGAAACCGGCGCGACTATAATTAATAATAGATTGCATGTATTTACGAAACATATTTAAAAAATAATACGTATTTACATACATATGTACATATTTGCAGCGTTTATATTTTCTGCAGACACAATGTGTTTATAAATGCATAAAACCCGGAGTAAAGTAATTATACATATAGGTGATAGGTCGAAGGATAGAACCTGAAATATTGAGCAGCATCGGGTGTCCTGCTAGGTTTCCCTTCGTACATCACGCTCGTGGCACCGTAGACAAGGGGCCCGTAACAAATGTAAGAGTGACCAACGACCCAGCCCATGTCCGATGCCACCCACCAGACCGAGTCCTTATCCATACCGTAAACCGTTTTCATCGTCCAGCAAACAGAGACCAAATGTCCACCGATCGTCCTCACAATTCCTTTCGGCTGGCCTTAACAAAGTAAAAATTCTGATTCATCGTTTATTCCATCCTCACGTTTACGCGCTCGATCGTCTCGTACGCTTAAGCATGTATACATATATAGCATTCCCGACGTTTCCATTCATACGTCATAATCGTTACCATTTGTTTTCGAAGTTATGCAATTAAAAGTAGGTATTAGATGCGTGACTTCTAATTTAACACCCTAATGACTTTTACCGATCTGATGTTTACGCGCTCGATCGTCTCGTACGCTTAAGCATGTATACATATATAGCATTCCCGACGTTTCCATTCATCCGTGCAATGCGTCATAATCGTTACCATTTGTTTTCGAAGTTATGCAATTAAAAGTAGGTAGATGCGTGACTTCTAATTTAACGCCGTAATGACTTTTACCACGTGTAATACCTACGTACCTATACGCGGGTTTTTCTGTTCGCGTAAATGCATATGCGGCAGGCAAAGTTTTGAGAGAAGCGAAATTTACGGAATGGTAACGAGTTTCGCCGGGATAATGGCACGTAAACATTGAATAGAAACAGTTCTTAAATTAGTCGTGGCATGAATCTACGCAAAAGGAAAATCGAATTTTAATAAACTATATTTTTATATTTAGTGACAATAAATTTTCCAAAGAATGATATATTCAATAGCAGAGAAACGATAGTTGGATTACCTGTCGTTCCCGAGGTATAGAGGATATACAGAGGCTCGTTCGCTTCGACCGGCTGGCAAGGATGCGGTTTCGACCTTTGGATCACGTCGTCCCAGTCGAGTTGATCCTCCAGAAGCGGACTTTGCCAAATGTTTCTCCTTTGAAACACGATGCATCGAGGTTTCTCTACGGAAATGATGTCCATAGCCTTATTCACCATACCCGTGTACCTGGTTCGAAATTACGTTAACGCGATCGTGGAAAATTTCCATTTTATTGAATACACAAGCAGAAGTATCGTACTGGATAACTTTGCCCGGTTCCAGACCGCAGCTCGCAGCTATTATCACCTTCGGCCTCGCGTGATTTATTCTAGACGCCAGCTCGTTCGCAGCGTATCCTAAAACCGAGCAATCCAAATTATATTCCCAATGTTTCGGTTCGGGACAAAGTTGAAGTTCCACCGTTGAATAACATAATACGAATACGTTTTAAAGAATTAGTTTAGGTCAACTCGTTTAGGTATTCTCGACGTATTTACCGCCAAACACAATCGAATGTACTGCCCCTAGACGAGTGATTGCCAGAATCGCCATTATGGTTTCCGGGATTAGCGGCATGTAAATGACGACTATGTCGCCTTTACGGACGCCGAGGTCCGCCAACGCGCCGGCTAAGAGCGACGACTTTTCCAATAGCTCGTTGTAAGTCACTCGTTGGATCGACGACGTCTGCGGACTGTCGTGGATCAACGCTATTTTGTTTCCATTCCCAGCGAGGACGTGCCGATCCACCGCGTTGTAACAGGCGTTTAATTCTCCACCGACGAACCTATTGAAAAAAAGAAGGAAAGATATCTCTGTCTTAAAATATCGATGAAATATTAATTATTCAATAGATCAATTCGAATGTTATAATTAAACTCTGAGTCCAGCTCACCATTTGGTGAACGGTTGCTTGGTATTGTCCAACACCTTCTTCCAGGGTTTGCTCCAATCCACGCATTTCGCGGCGTCTCCCCAAAACTTCTCTGGGTTCGACAATGACTCCTTGTACGCCTCGTCGTACTTCGGACAGGGTATGTGATGTGGGTTGACAATGTAATCTACGAGAAAGAAATAAAACGATGTCTCACTCGTCGCGAAAACAAGACGACGTCGTTTTTCAAGGTTTGATCTTAATCAATTCGTTTTTAAATCGCAGCGGGCTATGCGCATACAATAAAAGTTAATCATCTTATCGATCGTATTCGGAGTCAAAAGGTTAAAGAACATTGTACCGAGCTATTTTTGATTACCCTCAGTATTTCCTTTCCCGTTTATTTTCAAAATTAAATGAAACGTACGTATAATAATATTATATCAGTCGAAATCATATTTAGGACAGACTTTCCAATCGTGCGATTATTTTACAAGTTAAATAGAATAATGTCGCGTCTTTAATATGCAATGTTTAATGTTTATTTTACAGAAAACGAATCGTAGTTGTGTTTAGGTAAAGTTCACCTGTGTAATCTGCGTTATGCTGTGTGGCCGCGTTTCATGAATATTGACAGGTCCCGCGAAGGGAATAGTGCCTTTGCCGATATTTTTTAGCTTTGCCGATGAATAATTCATTGCGAGTCATCGGTACCCCGTGTTCATAGTAATTTCCCTTTAACGCATCACCCACCCGCGTGTTTCTGTTTTTCCTTTTTTTTTTTCTCGAATGACGTGTATCGTTTGAAAGCGATCACAATTTTCCCGACGACGATATTTAAACGATATTCGGTTATGCATTTCGCGGTAAATCCCTATGGTGGATATCTCCTGGTTTCCGTTTAACCATTCAGAAAGAAGTCACCTACCCTCCTATTATAATTTTATTTACAATCGCACCCTCGCAAGCTCGGTAGCTGGAAGCGCGGCAGCTGCGTCGGATAATTGCAGCTAATGTGAATCTCTTCAGCAACGAAATTCACAGAGAGAACAGACGCTAGACCCCGCCCATTGTTAATCGTGTTAAAATCTTGGAACTTGATTACTGATAAGACGCTTACAATTAGTAGAACGGTTCAGTGTGACAGTCGTCTTGAACAAACACCTGGGTTCCGCGAGACCTTCGGTGGCTCTTTTCCGCATCGCAAAGATTCATTGCAGGCTTTAAAAATATTTACCTGTGCCATCGGTAGCTTGTAAATTCTTTGGCATAGTCGTTAACGACTGAAAATTCATTTTCCTCGAAATGTGAGACATGGCCGATAGTCACACTCCACTTTCAAAAATGATCCACCCCGTCGTTAGTTACTGTGAATCAGAATCGTGAAGAAATGATCGAGCAGAAGGTCACAATGAACACTAAACACACAGAAATTATTTAAACATGACAAAATAAAATGGTAGATTCGATAATTTCATTATGCAGAATCGTCCTTAGGTACGAGCCGAAATTAGCAAAATTACTAGAACCATAAAACGACGAGCCCGGCGGGCAAAGTAAACAGATAAACCGTGTCCCTTTCGAGCAAACATTACTTTGGCCCGGATATATTGTACGTAAGCTGGACCGATACCTTTTCTAATCGCAGAATCCTCCACCCTCGGATTTTGATGGAGCTCCGGCGAATTGTAGGTCAGTCGAAAATAAGGATCCTGACACGTCCCTCGAAGCAATCGGAGACGTCTGACCCGAGACTTTATCGTTAGACCGCAAATTAAAATTGTTACAACAAACTCGCTTAAGAAAAATAGATTCAATATTTTTTTATCTGCGTACGAGTGTTCGTGTGACTTTTGAATAAAATATAAAAAGGCGATGTAGAGGTGACAACAATGAAATGGATAATTAAAATATGTAACAATATTCTGCGGACGTACCCGAATATTTGTTTAATTAAACACGGCTTGGGTTTATAACGAAGTGGACGCGTAATTAACGGTTGCTCGGGTAATTGAATAACACGGTGAACACAGATTAATTCCCATTGAATTTATAGCGGTACACGTTCTTCTTTATTTGCCGCGTAGTTGTTATACAATTGTTACATTACAAGAGGTCGAGAATGATTGTTTAAACTTGGCACAATTTAAACAAACGCGTTTGACAAGTGTCCGGCTTAAAATGAGCAAACAGGTCTCGAAGAAATAGTTTTATTTGAATCAGAATGAAACGCTCATTGCGGGGCATTCTACGAGGTTCGCGACTGTGTAAAATCGTGATCGACACTGACACTGCGTCGAAACGTATTATACAGCTGTTATGTTCAAAATCCCTGCCACGTTAAAAGCGATATAGTCATTTGATTCACATACTTCCTGGACGGATCTTGAACCTGGGGTCACCGTATTTAATTAAAATGAGAAATATAGTTGACTTAAAATCCAGCTTATTAACAAAACATCTGAGGTCGGAGAACTTTAATTGCAGCGCATTTCTTATTATTTTATTTATGTTTAATTTTCACTTCTCGGTCGATCTGCCATTTACATAGAAAACGCTTTTGTAAAAATATAAAATATGCAAATTCTTATGTAGAGAAATACGTGAAGTTCGATTAGTTGCTACAAATATTATTCTTTGTGCTTTTTCATGTATCGTTCTCCCAGAAGAACAAGAGTGTGTTACGATTTTACGTCAAAGTTCAGGTCGTGTAAACTTTAAAAAAATCCGATTCCCCTTTGATCCGACAGAGCTAATCCTGCATTTTTTGCTTCGGCGGTCCCTTCGTTCTTTTATTCGAACCTCTCTTTGACCACCTAACGCGACGGAAAATTATGAAAGAACACGTATTTTCACACGGAACCGTGAAAGCATTTTAATCCCTCGATTAATTGCCCGTTTACTATAAAAGAATGTGTTCACTGTGTCACATATTTCTCCTTCTACACCGACGCCTGGGCCATTTACAGTAAAAGTTTGCCTCGTATTATTCCACTGCTTACTGTGTACTTAATTCGAGACGATGAAGCCATTTATCGATGACATGAACGAGACGATAAACTGTGAATGCCTAACGAATTACAGGGTAATCATAAAACGATGAATAGAATAATTTAAATTTTATTCGATTTTCCCTTTCCTCCACGGCATACATTTGGATAAATTTACGGAATATTGTTGAATAATTGCATTAGAATTCTATTGTCCATCATCGGAAATTGAGTAAAGATATGCCATTTCCAAACATTATCCTATATTTAGTTATCGTCTACATTTTCTACTTATACATATACATAGCAATGACTGCATTAACTTCGGACATTTTTTTTTCCACGACATTACACACATCCATCCCTTAAGCGTAATTAAATTCGCGGACTCAGAAACACGAGTGCTTCGAGACAATTTCGTAGAAAGGATTTTGATTTTGCATGGCGACTCCGCCACGGTGTCGTTCCGGAGTTAATTCGAAGAAGACCCGTTGGAGCGAACCGGCAAAAAGTGTAGGCAGAGTTAATCAAGAACTGATAAGGTTCCCCCCTGGTTCGAAACTTCCCTCGTTCCGAGCAACTGTGCCGTTGGAAAAACATGAAATCTCGTCTGCCTGCGCGTTCGAGCAAGAAAACGGACGGGCTGCTTGTAGACGGAGGGAAAAAAATATAAGAGGACCCGGGACGTGTTGCGCAACCGTACACACGGACGTTTTCATGAAATTTTTATTCGATGTGTCCAAGGGAAAATTGAAAATGTACGTCAACCGCGGGATGAGAGGGTGTGATATGCGTGCCATCTCACCCCGTTAAAACGGCGCATGGCCGTGGATGCGGCGCGTATTTAAGGGCTGATCCCTCACGGATCTCGCCACTATCACCGTACCCTTCGATCTTACGCAAGCATAACGCCGCTGTTTCGACCCGCGTTCGCCACCCCCGAGTGTCCACAGTGAAATCAGGAAGCATCCCCCGTCACGTTTCTTGGAACGACTACACCCTTTCGGCATCTCCGCAGCATCTCCACCGATCGGCAACAGGTTAACATTAATCCAGATACGTTTTACTTCGTTCCGTTCCCGTTTAACTGGCTGATAACAATCGTGAATAATAATGATTCCATATTGGAGATATTTGACTCGCCTGTGTAAAGAATTTTCAATTCGACTCTCAATTGATGTTTGTGTAATTAAGAAGTAGACGATTTTTATAAGTTTTGATAGAGATTTGCAAAATGTAAAAGGAAGTTTAATTGAGGAGTCACGACGAATCGTCTGTTGTTCGAAAAATGTTATATTTCCGTTCGATTAAATCAGAGGATTGCAGATCGAATAGAAACGATTTTAAAAGAAACTTTTGACGACCGTTGAAGGGCACAGCCGAAGGAATCTTAATGAACGTTACTTGTTGCATGTGGATTCACAGTCACGTTTCAGCATCAAACTTTCATTAACCTTTTTAATGAATTCTTTAAGTCGACTTACGAACTACTTTTTAATCAAGTCCACGAGTCGGCTTATTAATCTGTCGTCCGTGATTTCCCAGAAGTTTTTTTATTAACCGCATCCTTCCGCTTTCAGTTCTAACGTCATGAACTTTCGAGCGCACGCGATAATAATACACCGATTACTTGCAAACTCGCTATCGTCGAGAATGCGCGGAATCATTTTAAATGACAGATAAAAAATGAGCTTCGCCGCGCGTAAACATTAATTTTGGTTGGCAATGAAGTTTCGTTCCCGCGAGAATGGTTTGCGACGCAGGACAGATGTTACGTCCTTGTAGGAAACGCAAATGTCGCGCACAGTTGCGAAATATTTGTCGGTCGAAAGAAATTCCAATATATCTCCCCGCGTGTATGCATCCTTCACACACTAGCACAATTTCAAATCATTCCGAAACGCGTTCCTTCCTCCCCCGATAAAAATTCTTATTTCTCATTCTTTTTGTTCTGACAAAAAAAATTATTTTCTCCATGATACCAAAGATATTAAAGGAATTATTCATTTATTTCGTATTGGGTACAATTACGTGCCTGCACCCATCCTACATAATTCAAAATCATTCAGAAATGCGTTCCTTTTTACCCTGATAAAAATTCTTATTCCTCATTCTTCATACTCTGACAAAAAAACTCCTTTATGCATGTTATCTAAAGTATTAAACGAATTATTCATTTATTTCGTATTGGGTACAATTGTGCATGTCTGTATCCATGCCATATCCACAGGATAAGTCAAAATCATTCAGAAATGCGTTCTTTTCAACCCTGATAAAAATTCTTATTCTTCATTCTTTGTACTCTGACAAAAAAAATTCTTTTCTCCATGGTAGAAGAGGTATTAAACGAATTATTGATTTATCTCGTAGCAGGTACAATTGTACTTCTGAGAAAAATCCTATACTCACCGAATTCCATTCGAGTGAATCTTCGACATATTCAACGGCATGTAGGATCCTTACAATAGAGATTCTAAAAATTATTTCATACTTTCGCTACACGACTCTATCGTAGTGGCGTACGAATTATAACTTCGTAGTACGAGTTTCGTTTTATAATAGGACAAGCATATTGTATGTGGCGGAGATTCAAAATTCAATTTCATCGGAAGCTTGTATCCACCGCAAACTTTTACATCGCTACACGACTCTATCGTAGTGGCGTACGAATTATAACTTCGTAGTACGAGTTTCGTTTTATAATAGGACAAGCATATTGTATGTGGCGGAGATTCAAAATTCAATTTCATCGGAAGCTTGTATCCACCGCAAACTTTTACATTATAACGATCAAAACTTCCGAGCTTGACGATTTAAGCTTATAATTCCTTATTAAACGTTATATTAGTACTATCTCTTATGAAGTCTGTTTCCTTTTTGGCCATTACTCGGGATTACATCCGGGAGTTAATTAAATAGTTGCAAACTAGAAAATGGTATTCAATTTAACCGATTAATTAATACAATTTTCATCCACTCAGCGATCAATTGCCTATAATTAGATTTGATGCATTTATAAAACCCTTGTATCTATCAAAACTGCATTGAATGCCCAAAATGTATGAAAGGTGAATTTAATTTATAATGTATAAAAGGAATTTCTATTTAGATTGCATGTTCTAAATTGACATTACAAATAATTCATTTTCTAGTCTAACAGCAATCTAGTTAGCATTCCGCCAAAGAGCGTCAAAGTTAAATCCTCCTTTTTAATCCTTCACTTCAATTGTGACCCGCTTTGTTCCGATCATCCCACTCTCAACGCGTAGTAGCGGTATTTCAGATACAAACTCGATTAAGAACTGACATTCATTTCCTCTGAGAGCCTCACGGGCCCGATATCTCTTCGGGTTCTTGATCGATCTTCAGGCGAGATGTTCGCTCGAGATTTACATAGTTCCGTCACGATAGTTCCTTCGATTCCCACGAATTTAATCATACTCGATCCTGGAACACCACGTACTGTTTAAAAGACAAACAAGATCTTGTTTTCCCTGGTTGCGACAGTCGAAAGTTCGAAGGTCCTGCCAAGGAATCTATTGATACGTTAATTCTTAATCGAATTAAATTACGTTTCGGAACGTGAGTTGGAATCTCCGAACGACGGTCACTCGTAAAATCGATATCGCCGTTTAATATATTAATTAAATAAAATAATCAATCAATAATTCTTCATAAATATTCAGCCACATTTATGGTACAATGATTCATTCGTTATGCTATAATTTCCAATTCGGAAATGGACGTTCCGATTTATAGCGACGGATTCTACGTACCTGTTTCTTACCGTTTCGCCAATCGAATTAAGCGTAAGTGCAATTATCGAAGCCGGTTATAAAAGTAACATTTGACAGGTTTACGAGCTCGGAAACGGACCGTGAAGTTGAACAAGCAAATTGAAATTTATAAAAACCACATCGCGCTAATGGAACTGTCCTTTATGTAATTACGTTCGAAAACGAACTATTCCTCCTCTGCGACGCGACGCTACTTAAAGCATTACGATTCTATGAACGTTTGCGGGACGATTAACAACGTTTTATGGCTCGGTCATTTTAGAATGTTACGATTAACGAGATAACGTTTTATTGAGATATCGCTATGTGTCTTCGTATCGCCGCAGGGTAGTTGTCTGTACAACGTCACCGGGACAGTTCTATCCGATTAATTACTGATGGGGTGCCGAATTATTTACAAGCCTCGTCATCCTCTACGTGGTTTATTACGGAACGCACTAGATCAGACCACGAAAATGGTCTTGAGGGTCCTTTTATTACTTCCGGTTTGCCGTCTCTTATCAAAGATTTAAGATCGCTTGAATTCGGACGAGGCATCTAATAATTTCAGCTCATATGCACACTAGTAAATTCTTGCGGTCTAGACGATTCCTTAGGGTTCTATGAACCCTTACATAAAAACAATGACAAAGCATGGAAATTTTAACAATTATTAGTTATTATTACACTAATAAAACACTTCTTATTTAAGTTCTTATGTCGAATGACAGAACTTCGATTTTATCTATGGAAAAATGTGGATGTAACAATGACAGAATTATTCTTGCATAATTTTTAATACATGACTTAAAAATATTTTGAAGTTGAAGTAATGTCAATTTCAAGGATATTAGACAATTGCAAATCATGTACAGTTCGATAAAGAAATGCTAAAATCATGTATTAGAATATTAGAAATTATGCGCTAAAAATTCCTAATGACTGATGAAAATAGGTAGAACAATTTTAAAAACCTTACTCCTCTGTAATTGTCATTCTTCCTAAAAGTTCATTGCTTCAAATATTGGACACACCTTTTTATTACACGTTTTAATCTTTTGGATCTTACGACTCAAACGACATTAATAATTCGCAAAGTTCATAAGCTATTTATATTATTATATTAATCGTATGAAAACATTGAGCATCGTAGGAATTAATCTATGAAATGTTATTTTCAGTTTGATTCTATTTATGGTCAACGATGTATAATGCAAGTGGGTTGAAAGTAAAATAGAAAGAACAATTCTCTTTGTATCTTATCCAACAGGTTGCATTCCCGAGAATTTTCGTGACAGCACCTTCGACGTCGATTTAACTCCTACAACGTGTCCGCGTTATATTTAGTCGGAACAGACGGAAAACTATTAAACATTCCAGTCACGTAGCCTTGGTAATACGATTTCCCGACTTTGAGCTCGCTTCTGGGATCACATTCGGATCCGTCCTTCTCCATCTCTCGATATTCCGGCTTCGTCCGCCTGTAACGCAATACCCGGGCTTTCGTTTTTCAACAAAGGCTAGACAACTGACTTCCAATCATTTTATCTACAACCCGGTTCCCCTCGACTTTACACATATTTTTCTTACATTTTCGATCCTCGTGTACATTTCTTCCCTCGTATTACTTCAAGTATTATTTTGTCTGCACGTTCTACGAAGGACATTGACTTTTATTTGCGATGTCAACCAGAAATTTTGTGAATTACGCAATATCCTAGATCCGTCTTTGAACGAAGATTGAATGACCGGCTTCTAATCGTTTTACCTACAATTTGATTCCTCTCGATTTTACGCGTAGTTTCTTAGAACTTCGAATACGGTCATGTATATTTGAACTTTTCGTATTTAATTATTTCCGTGAATTATTTTGTTTGCTTGGAAATTCCATGAAGCAAAGGACATCGATTTTTATTTACGATATCAACTAGAATTTTTGCAAATTATGCAATATCCGAGATCCGTTTTTAAATAAAGATTGGATGAGTCGATTTTAATCGTTTTACCCACTGGTTTTTAAAAAAATGGCCATGTATATTTATTTCTCTCGCATTTTATTTTTTTGAACGTTTTACGTAGCAGGCGTCCAACCCAGTTCCTGAGGTCAGCTAGAAATTTTAAAAACGCATTAAGGACGTGTCATTAATTAACAAGGAAACTGCGGGTTTCCTTCTGCAGGACTGACAAATAATTTCGTTCCGTAGAAGTTCCTACAATTCTTCGTATCGAATTGTCCGAGTTTAACTCCTTCTTCTGTTACTCGGATTATAACTTTGAAAAAGGGTAGTGCCAAAGTGTCGAATAATGACTGAAACAGCATTTACAGAGTTTGTCGACGATATACGAGGGAAAGGTAATGTAAAAAAATGTTTTGTGTTTTCTTTTTAAGAATGATGGGCTCAACAATCGTGATCCTCTTATCGATGACGACCATGGCAATGTTCTGCAACAACGCGTCGGCGGCTTTGCCGTCGCAATGCAACCCCGGCTTCCTGGACGATCTTCCTCCCAGGATCCGCAAAGTTTGCGCCGCTCTGTCCAGGATATACGAACTGGGCTCAGAAATGGAAAGCTACATCGACGACAAGGAGAATCACATAACGGGTACAACGTTAAAAAATAATTTACAAGAAACATTCGTTCGTTCTTTTTAACAATTGGAAAATTAATTACAACTTCAGATGTTCTGTTAGTAATTTTAAACTTTACTTCCCAACAAGACAAGGATGCCTTTTTAAAACGATATTGTAATTTACAGGTTTTCACGAGAGCCTCCCGTTACTAGACAGTGGCGTTAAGCGGCAGGACGTCGACCACGTTTTTCTGCGCTTCGGAAGACGTCGTTAAACGTCGTGGCGGATGACGTCTGTAAAAAACATATTTGCAGATCCATTTCAAAATGATTCTACTTGCGTTTCCCCTCGTTATCGAATGTCTAATTAGAATTGCCACATATTATTAGCGCGGCTTCTTCATTCTTCTAGATATCTGCTTTAAAAAAAAAGAGATTCCTCCTCTCCTATCCTTTGCAAATAAATTCTATAGTGAAAGCAGCAACAACCTGGATTACTGAACACTAATTTAGATTTTTATCTGAAGAAGCAGAATTTCCTTTTAAATTTCATCCTGCGAATTTACAGGCATTCAGCGTCATGGAATAATGTTATAATCATAAGAAAAAAGTAAAAATTATATCGATCATGTTCGTTCCCTTAATGACTTCGTGTTGTTTCAATATAAAAGCTTTATGAAAGATTGAAATAGAAAATAATTTTATTCAATCACACTGTAACAGAGAAGGAGTGTAAAAATAAAACGCAAACTCATTTTACAATGCACATTCACTGCGTGGCGTAGATTTCGCGTGTTAAGCGTTTATTGAAATTAATTTCAAATGGATAGATAACGATAGGACGTAAAGGATTTATAAACGCATGCATAACGATCCAAATGTGCATGACACTTCGTAAGGAGTACTTTACCGAACGATCTAATTCTCGTTATATGTTACTCAGCTCGGATACCTGAGGAAACGTATTCTTGAAAGAGACGGAAAGTCGCGAGATAATTCGAACGCTTGTTCATCGCAGCGGATAGCGCTTGTACAATTTTTTGTTATTCCAATATCTACAGAATTAGAAACAACTTGTTCAACCTTTACCGGCAGATTTATTCTTCACGGGCCGTCGACACCGATTTCACTCGCTGGCCGTGAGCAAAACATTTACATACTCGCATTAACATCGATCGCTATACACGAAGCTGTCTCGGAACTCGGATGTTACGCTTGAGAAAGAAATTATCATACCTTATTCAGAATTATACAGTTTGCCTACAGCAGCAACAAATAACTCACTACTTCGTTGGTGGATTGAAAAAATTTGTCCGCAAACTCTATGTACAATTCTGAAGGCACCTAATCGTCGAACTGTGCTCCCGGGGGTATGTGCGTTCTGTGACACGAGCTTCGTCTTTGAAAGCCGTTTCTTCGCAAGAAATACAAACTCGTCTATTTCGTTCTGATTGCAACGCTGCACTTATATGCTAAGGATTTGTATTATTTACAAGTTCTAATTCTATCACAGAGCGATGGGTTTTGTCGCTGTAACAGGAGGCTAGCGTAGCTCGTCGATGAACGAGAAGTCGAACCATCGACGTTGCTTCTCGGAGTACGGGTGCAGCTATGGAGGCGCCGAGTGCGGTGCTTGGGGTCAGCAATTTGTGGCTCCACAGTGCTTCTCGTCCGCGAAATACGAGACGGACACTACATCGCCGCCGACGTTTATCAAACACTGGCCCTAAAAATTTATTCTCACTCTTATGCTCTGTCATTAATTAATATTATCAAATAGTGCGTCATTTATTATACGTACTTGATTCTTATGCGGACTGTGAAGAAGCACGCATTTGCTCATGAAAAATGCTACCATCGCGTTGCCTCCTAAAGCGGTGATGTGTGCACGAACAATCGCTAAGACCTCTGTCACGAAGCTATGAGTAAACCCGCTTAAACCACCGTTCTACGAAAAAAGAAAATTGCATATGATAATTTTAGTTAACAGTCATTTTTATTATTATTTAACTGTTAAGTATGTCTTCAGATACGAACTTCTCTGATAGACGTGCTTTCACGAATGAAGAAGAAATTTAAATTTCCTAGATATCTTTCTATGCGGCCACCTGGTAGATAAGAGAGAGGCGTTATATCTACACCGTATCTTCCCTTTAAAGGCACCTGTAATAATCAATTACAATTAAGTGGAGGTCTGTATAATAATATTAATTACCATAGAAAATTTATTTAAATACTTACATGTTTATGTCTATGTATTGCGTGAACCTTGGATCGCAATGGTGATCGAGGTCGAGACTTCCATACGGTATTGGTAAGAACAGCGGTGTTCATATTGCTGCTGGATGCATTGTCCGACGAGAGCTCAGCGTGATCCACATCGAGATTAAATATCATGTCAGAATCGTCTGAGCATGAAATATCCAATTAAATATCTCAAGTGCGTTACATAGTTATTGATAAATCAAAAGATTTACCTGATCTCTTAACTTGGTCTTTACTCGCGGAATGAGTTATCAATTTCTTCTTACACGACTTGTTCACTTTCACGGGATCTCCTAGCCCGAGAGCCATGCCGATTACGGTAAACTGTATTTCATCTGGTTCGGGAAGTGCCAATTTGAATTGCATATCGCATAACGCACACGGAATCATGCGCCTCAATTTAAAATATACAGACTGCAATAAGAAATCGATAAAAATAGATATTTATTGAAATGGTAACACGCTTTGTTACAAGCAATAATCGCTGTAATTACCTGCAGTAATTTGGCAAAATATTTCGAAGGCATCGATGCGAATTGCCCAGCAGGGATTTTCGTCCTTGATATTTGCGTGAACATCTGTAGATTCCTTACAATTTCTAAGTCGTCTAACCCAGGAATCATTTGAGTATTTACTACATGAAAATCTTCCGGAGGTCTATCGTCCATTAATAACGATATTCTATCCATGTCTTCGATGTCGTCCACTTCTAAGACGCACGTGTCCCTCGGACCTACGCTAAAATCTATGTCAGGTAAATCATCGTCCGATTCGTCGGTGTCCGAAGTTGTAACTCGTCCATTTTCAACATCCTGCAACAGATGAACCGCTGAATAACTCCCTATAAAAAAACGCAATTAATTAGATTTATTTACCCCAACAGGTTTCAGCTTATAAAATTCCCTGTTCTGCTTAACAGTCTCTACCAAAGTCTTCTGAATCTCAGCTAATTGTTCCTCCTTGTGCCAGGAATTTCCAGAGGCGATTTGTGGTATAGTAGGCGTGGGTAACGCGGTCAAGAACACTGCTGTACCAACGGCCATACCAATGATCAATCGTTCTCCAACAGAAACTTGCAGCTTTAATCCAAATATCGCGTTCATTCCCTTGACTCTTAATTTGTTCAACAATAAACTATGTAGTTCGTATTCTAAAAATGGCAAGCAATCGGATATCTCCTTGGCATTAAGCTCTCCCCTGAGGTCTTTCTTCGCCTTGCACGTAGTGGCTTGAATGATACATCCTCGACCGGTAGTCGTAAGGTTCTCCGGCAATTCTATCGTAGTGAACATCACGTCTGGTACCCGGGCGCGTTTGCATATTGCACATTTTGAGACGTTCACGCGAAACGGAACGCTCGCTTCGTTGTACGGCAAATGACAGAGACTGCATTTACTCTGATATTGAACCTCGTGATCTCTACTCTCCGAGGTGTGTCTCACTTTACCCGTTTGAACCGTAGTCGGCAAGGGCATATCCGTATCGCTTTTCTCCACTTTCACGGGTACTGTCCTTTGTTGAACTTTATCGCGTTCCGTTTCCCCTGACCCTGATTGTCCTTTACCCATGAAGACACTGTCCGCATCCTGACTTGAGTTATGAAGATTGATCACCGCTGCTGTGCCGTATGCATTCAACACGCAGACGTCGTCGCTAGAAAAGAATAACAATGTCGTTTTCATCGTTTCTCTCTAAACTTCTTCAGTGATTATTGCACTGTTTCGAATTCTTACCAAATGCTAGTTTCTTCCTTGTAACCGATAACCACGTTGCATGCTAACGCTCTGGCGTGCGAACGAACTTCCATTCTGACTTCCTTCCACCAAGCATCGCGACTCTCCGGTTCTTCCAAGTTACTAATCCTCTCCAAAAGTTTTACCGATCTAGAGCTCACAAGACCACCTGTCTCAAGGTATACATTTTACAAATATTAAACTTTGCAACGATATTTCGTTTTCGCCTAAAGCGGAATAGAAAGTTAATGCGCCTACCGAGATGCAAAATAAATCCTGGCGGATATTGCTGCATCGTGATGAACGGATACTCCAACATATCAAATGCATCCTGATTCATAGTCCTTATCATAGCAGTCGAAGTTTTTAGTAAGCCAGTCATCGATCTATCATTCGCACCGAACGAGTTTCCTGTCCGATGCAACAAAATTTTACATGTCTCGTATGATGAAAGTTCATTTCCGTATGATTCAATTAAAAAAAGCTCACCCTTCGGAGTAATGCTCAGATCGGAATCGCTAGATCTCCGATGCAACGAAGCAGTGGGTTGGGCCTTGGTCGCTGGTAACTGGCATACTTTTGAGACCATAGGAGAAACAACCGGAAGTGGGTAAGGTGGGCTTAATGAAGCCTCGTCTTGTTGCCTACGATCGGGGGAAGGACGGGACACACACGAATTGTAAGTCATATTAGCAGTGTTAGTACTATTAGTTAATTCGTCTTGATCTTCTTTTATATTACAAATGCTATGATTCTCGTGTACCGAATGATCTACAGATGCAGGTGATGAACGGTTAGTATCGTTTATCTTTAGTTCCTTCATTTCTATGACATTGCTATCGTCTTTAAACGAATCAATGCTTCGAGCGTCGAGTGTTAATTCTTTCGCGGTGAATTCGCGCGACCCTGAATCCGCTGTAGATCTTTTGGTGACGAACCCGGTTGATTTACTTAAATGTGACAGAATCAACGTGTCGTGAGTGATTATGCTCTCGAGAGAGGAATTGTAGGAAGAGGTATCTGGTGTAAACAACGTGGGCGTGGATTCGTTCAAATGGAAATCCTTGGAGAACGAGGAAACGCGCATAAGTCTTCCATGTCTATAGCCGTGCGTCCGTTTCTTTAAGAACTGATTGTGTATATTCCTTTGTATTTCCTTGGGATTTTTATTTCGTTTCTTCCTTCTGGGTTTATTGGTATGTTGCTGATGAACCATCATTTTCGTGTCGATTATTCTCATCAAGTCCATCATACGACGTTGCCTATTTTTATGCACGACGTCGAATATTTCATTTCCTGAAGATTGTAACAAACTTTCGACACTGGACGAAGTTTTAGACATTGTATCCGAAGTTAGTTTACTACTGATATTTCCTTTCGCATCGACAGGAAGTCGATATTGTTGTAATGATGTCAAAGACTGTACCGATAAACTCGATTTTAATATATCACGATCCTCCAGTCTTTCACTAAATTGCTTGTCTTTGAAGGAATCTCTCATTGTGTATTCGTCTTCCTCTTCGATCATGGATGGGTATCTTCTATCTCTCCATCTGTGCGTCGTCCTGTCTTTACTTTCGGCATCACTCTCGCAATGCAATAAAGAATACGCGGAAACAGATACTTCAAAATCATCGGCACAAGATATTTTGTCATCTTTCGCATTATCAGTATCAGTTAAAGTATATTCCTCTACTATTGCAATCCCATCGTGTTGCTTTTCATAATCGACAACAGAAATAATTATTCCTTTTGTAGTATCGATAACTGGAGAATCAAGTTCCGTTGGAGTATCTGTCGTGGTTGAAGGACTGAGAGCTTGAGGGTCATCAACATTTTGATGATCTTGCAAAATGTCCGCATTTTTATCAATCTCAGCAAAATTAGTCTCAGTGTTCGAACTCGCTGCACATTCTAAATTCAACGTAGATATCTGATTCGTTGATAGACATTTAACTAGAGGAGGTGATGTACTTAATTCGTGAAGGGGACACGTATCGCTATCAGTTCTCAGTATCGGCTTTATCTGTGACGCTCTTTTCTTCAACGGGGGGTAAGTATCGGATCTGCGAAGTTTCCTCGCGAATCTTGGATCCAATTCCTCATCCGTTGAAAATTTTGAATCGCTCAAGATATTGTAACTAGCGAGCGAAGACTCATCGCTAAAACCATTCGAACTGGGTGTATTTTCTTCGAACGAGGAGTCGTGTTCCTTCTTCGTTTGTGATTTTGGCGTTGCGACACGAATCTCATCTTCCAGATCATTCTTCTCATCTTCTTGATTGATGTACTCGTCTTCGTTTTCAGCATTAGTTGTGGAAACAACTTCCAGACTTCCTGTCTCATGGTCTTCAGTAAGATCTTCCAAAGGAACAACATGAATAGACTTAATCAAAAGAGCAGCAATACCGCTCGTCGTTTTATTATCTTTAAATAATTTTTCTTTTGTTGGATATTGTATGCTCGTGACGGAAGACCTAGCCGAACTGCTTAAACGAGGATTGCTTCCCGAGTCGCTCGAGCTGAACAACCTTCTTAAATTCCTACGTACGCTATGATATTTTCTGCTCTCGCCCCTTTCGTCTTCTAGAGCCAACATCATTCTCACAGACGCGTCTTGTACAACCGACTCGGTCAAAGTCGGGTAAGAGACCATAGCTCTTTTCAGACTATCCGTCGAAGTTTCATTCGACTTGACGACACCTAACTCGCGGCACGGACATTCAAACTTTTTTATGGTTCTCCGAGGACTTCGGCAGACTTTTGAATGATGCGGAAGGTTGTCCCTTATGCGCGTGATTCCTGCGAAAACAGGATCGGACATGTGCGTAGGAGTGACGGTATACATCGGCATACTCTCATCGAGTCCTGTGCGTTCCCTTTGTGTTTTGTGCTGTGAAAATAATGCCCTACGTAGCCATGCAGGTGGATAAAGAGAAAAAGACCTAATTAGTTCGAGTGTTTTGAATTTCATCGGGTATTGATTCAATCATTCGTATCATTAACGATCAAAGTTGGATGCGCGTGTGGCATACCTAGTAAATTCCAGTGTCCCGTTTTCTACGCACACTTCTTCCTGGCTTTTTAATGCACGCGCATCAGACCTCGATCTAGCGTCTACATACCGAGTGTCCTAGAAAAATGATACTCTGGTTAGAAAATTCGAAAAAGAGATAATTCTTTATAGTCTTTCTTTGCACTGGCGAACGGAGTTCCCTTTTATCAAAGTAAGTACTAAATTATACGTAAGCGAGATATAGAGACAAATCGCCTATTATTTATATAACGTTTATTTATTTATTTACTTTTAAAGTAACGCTATCGGAGAAATAGGACACCCACTGTATAGAAATAAGATCTAATGCACTTGCGTCAATGTTCAATTGTAAATGACACATTATTGTCAATTGTTTTGCATTTTGTACACAAACGCATCGAACTTTGAGCCGTTTGGAAATAGAACAATAAATGCATATTAGTGCATAAATTATTTGTAAGATCAAAGAAAACGGTACTAAATACTCCTGTGTTTATATAAATAATATTCAAACATTTCTTACATGCATTTAATTAATGACGAGCAATATAAAAGAATTCTATTTTACAAACAAAATTATGCGACAAAGTAAACTTCATTAATCAGATTAAATAAACAGCATTGTAATTCACAACACAAAACCTTAATATATTCAGCATTACTGATGTTATAAGGGAAGCACTTACTTTAAAGTACAAGAACGTAAAGTGTAGGAGAGAATTAATGGAAAACTCGCCTAGGACAAATTACACTAAATGCAACGCAATAAATACTTAATGCACTTACTCTTCTATATTGTCAGACAGAACATTTAACGTATCTTGCAGTTTTACAAGGGTAACAGCAGTACCTATACCTCTAGCCACGATACCAGATTCACCTTCCAGGTCAAAATTTTGTAAGTACCTAATTACGAAGATATAGTATAACAATCGCTTTCTATTAATATCTTTGAGCATTATATATGATTTACCCAATAACTGCGTTTCCACCGAGATCTAAGGCCTTCAGACCAATCTTCCTTTGCACTTCACCGCTCAGTTTAAAAAATAATGTTTGCCTTGCCTCATTCGAGGCCCTCGGCGTCCTTATCTTATCAATCCATTTATATTCAGGATCGTCGCTGACAACTAGCTCTTCTACGAATCCATGTATAGTTTGAGTATGATATCCGTAAGGTATATTTGGCGCTAAAAGGAAAACATTATTTTGTACACCAGGTATAAAAGCGAATGCAACGTTCCATTGATGTTTCGTATAGTTACAATAAAAAAATTGTACTCCGCAAGAGGATTGTCTGAATTTGTTAAAATCTGAGAAGAGTTCAACTTTAACAATGATATTGACTTCACCACGGATTCCATGCATCGTGTCATACACTGGTATCCATCCAGTCATGACAGAACCTGGAAGAGACTAACTGTTGAGCTTGCTTCAATATTGTCTGGTATAAAGATTAAACACGTACCACTCTGAGACCCGGTATTGGTATTCAGAGCAGCCTCCAGGGTCCAGATATTTTTCACAGTGGGTGGCACACCCGGTAACAATAAAGGATTCAAATTTATATAAACTTTGCCTATCGCGTCGTTCGCGGAATAAGTATCGTGGTCCATCAATCGAATCTGTAGTGGTTCATCTTGCAACTCGGAATCGTCTACCTCGAATCTGTACCATTCCGAGTTCCATTGGGGATTCAGCGATTTCCTACATACATCCGTTTTAAATGTTGTATTGCCAAATTTTAATTCAACGTACGCATCCGTGGTATCGCCAGAACGATCCATGACTGGCAGGTTGCGACCTGCCAGTATTTTCACTTTTATTTTACCCGGCATTGCGACGGACAGTTGCTTCAGCAGAAGTCTGCGAACAATACACCACGACCATTAGAATTTCGATAGGAAAATCGTGACATTGTGTCAACATTTTTAATTCAACAAGGATCATTGATACTCATGCGAAAATGACAACGAGGGTTATGTTTAATACAATTTTATTTCGATATATAATATAAGATAAAATCTAATGACGTAAGAATTAATTTTATGATGAGGTGAAATCATGCTGCGTAGGATTACGATGCTTACTCACCTTCCGTCAAAATCATTTGTGAACCTCAACGTACGTTACGTTTCCACACAAAGTTCATTTGTCGTTTGAATTGTTATTTGTGTCATTAGTAACAGAATCTTCCTGCTGTTATAAGTATTGATGTGAAATTAGTCATCGCAGCGTAAGTTAAATTAGAAGTTTCATTGAGCAGCGTGGAACTAACGTTTGTTTACGGTCCCATCTTTCAAGCAGTGCTTCGCGTGCTTCGCGTGCTCGTTATACTCACGAAACTTGGATGAAGATTTATTTTTTAAATCCCGTAAGTCAAACGAAGTCATATTCAAATATAATCTTTTCACTTATAGGATCAAACTAAGCGCTATATTAAATTGCTTCTAGCCTCTAGCAATGTTTAGTATTAATTTTATTGATTACTTTATATTCGTCTATATTAGTTCTCCTTTAGCTTACCTTATCGTTCTACCAATATCCGCGATCCGAATATTCTACGTTTGTTACAATATTATAATTGGAATTAGAATTGGATAATGCCCAAATAATTGCTCTTTATAGAATTCCTACGTTTTAACGTGTTAAACTCATAATATCGTGCGATTTAGAATTTATTCTATATCGCACGCTTCTATTTCAGGTTAAAGTATGTCGCAAATATTACACGGTCTGTTTGAAATATTTCTAAATTCCAATTTTCTGTTCCCGCATATAGAAACTTTATTCCTTGCAATATGCTATAATAAATACTTATCTTAACAGAAATTTTCGTTTCTTCAAATGAAATTGCATAAAACTTATAAAGTAACGGAAATTATCTCATGTGATATATAATGAAAACTGCAAAATATTTTCATACATATATTTATATACATAGTATCGCAATTATCTAATAATAATTATTCACATTAGATTCGAGTAACTTTCTTCATTAATCGCATTTTTTGTTTGTTCAATTCTTTTTATGTATATTGAAAAAATTATATATGATTTATAATTCTCCATTGAAAAGTATTAATTACATATATATAAACTATTGTGTAAATATAAAAGAATTGTCAGTTAATGATTATAAAAAGTAATAACGTAGACTGAAATGTACAGGAAGACTAATATTTTTTGATTGATTTTCGTATAAGTGCCAATCTTTGTTTATGAGCCTCTGTGACTGTTGCACGTTTATACGGGCGTACTTCATCTGTGCCAAAGCCAGGAATCCACATATTCCAATTTCTTTCTAAAATATGAAACAATCCATCTAAGTACACATCTAGATACATTTCATCAAATGATTTTCCAGATTAATTATAGTTTACCCAAGTGCAGTTGTACATCCTTTACTTCCACAGTATTTGCATGACGGTGTTTAGCTAACAAACATGCTGCATTCACAGTCGTTTCTACAAAATCATCTGCCAACTGCAACAGCATTTCCTCAACCTCTTCGTCCAACTGTTCCGTAGGATCTACCTCTTTCACGAGATCTTGTAATCGCGTTTTAGTCAAAAACTGTAATTGAAACAACACGGAGAATGAAAGAAAATTAAGTTTATTTTTGAAATGTACCTGTGGAAAATCATTGAAGGAACTTTGCTGTTGTTGTGACTGCTGCTGCTGCTGCTGTTGCTGTTGAGCCGCTGATTGTTGTACCGGCTGCTGTTTCGGAGGTTGCGATACGAATTGCGTTTGTTGAGACTGTGTCTGCGGCTGTATTATTTGTACTCCTGTGTTACCACTTTGTATATTCGGTACAGTAGACGTTGTCTGTGTATTAGGTCCGATTGACTGTATACTACCGAGCACAGGTGTCATGTCAGAACCTGCGCTAGTAGTCTGTACTAGCGCGGCTTGTTGTGACATTTTATTTGTTTCTCCACTTATTTCAATACCTTTACTGCTTTTTAAGTGAAATTAAATAAATATAACCTGTAAAGCATAGTTACTGTCCTCACTGTATTCTCGTACTGGCTTTATCTTACTGGACGGATCTGCGAGACTGCGCGTGAGTTACGTCGATTAGCTATTCGCCACCTAGCGGCATAAGCTTCGAATTCAAATTCTAATCCGGCCCCACTTTATGGAATTTTAATGAAAATTGTCTTTCATAAAACGAAGTAAAACTATCGACGCTAGTGAAAAATGGTTCATACAGAATTTTTAGTTATAATCGTCAACTACAAATAATGTCCTATAGTATTTTCCAAAAAACTATTTCAGTTTATAACTTCATATTAATTTTACGTTGGAAGAGGAATTTTATGGTGCAAGAGGATTTCTTGAAAGAAGGTAAATGCGTATAAAGAAATGAAAATAACTTTGAGACTTTATTGGTCTGCATTATGGAACACTAGTAAGAGGAATTCCAAGATGAATTCCGTTAATGTAGTATCAAAATGTGTTTTTAATAAATATCAATAAAAAATACATTACACAAAATATCTACAATGGTTACAAAGTTCGATATAAAATTACATGTCTGTGAACAGCACCACCGTCCAAGACTTATTACATAAATGTACAAAGTAGCAATCGTCGCCGTGTCTAATCGTACTGTTAGTATGGTAAGTCTTATGGTAATTAATAAATATTGTAAATGTAATCTTCTCCTCCCCGAGCGTTACTCCGATACAAAAATATCCGTAACGATTCTAGTTGTTTAGATCATAAGCATCGTACATTTTCGAAAAACGTAATAAAAAAAAGGTACATCATCGTACGCCGATGGTACCGGTAGAAAATCATTGTAGCCGTGCGATTCCGTGGAATTTCAAACAGTGCTTTTGTAAAACGAGATTCTTTTAATCAATGCGTGATAACAGAGATATAACAAGGCACTCTTTAATAAGTCTATAATATTTTTCATGTTTACATACTTTTTTCCGCTATACAAAACGTTACTTGTATTCGGTATTAAGTTTAAAAAATTACGTATACATAACACTCCCATCATTTAATTCTTGACATTACAGTCATCTCTCGGTCCAATTTTATCCTTAAATTTTAGTTATTGTGGCAATCGTAACTATTCGAAAAGGTTTAGGATTTATATATGTAATAATTTTCGGATACATTGTTAACAAATCACAAAATCAAATAAAAATTAGGTAATAGAGAATAGGGTCAACGAAATCGAACATGAATCTGTAATAGTCTTCATGTATACAGTTAAGATTACCTTAATACTTTCTTATATTGTCGAAAAATATTGCAGAAACTAGTATGAAATAATGATTAACGTCATTATAGGATATACGTATATTATGTACTATTGTATTCGTTGGAATATGAAGCACCCATCGACTTTTGCGCTGTAATAATCTAGAAAACTGTGTAGGGATTAACGTCGTTATTGTTATGTACTAATACTGTTCTCCTAAGTAACATCAGTAATTAGATTTATTTTAAATAGATCGAGAAAATTGTAAAATTTTCATTTCCTTTGACAATAAAATATAATTTCTACGTTCAGATTGAAGACAAATAAATGTGTAAAGTAAAACGGATGGTGTTAAATTTTGTACTAAACAAATTAGAATCGTAGGAAAAATGAAAACAGTTTTATTCCTACTAAACATCACCAAAGTTAATAAATTCTGTACAGAACATTTGTAAAGATTTATTGTTGACATTGACGAGCTCGATTATTTTGAATGTCTATGTACATAGAACGATCGATTTTTTCGCGCGTATATACTATATATGAATATAAATAAATGTAGAGCATCAGTGTAGATAAGAACACCGTAAAGATCTGAGAAATAACAACCTTCGTAGTAAGCACTTCGGTATAGCAATAGATCATTGGTATATCATCTTAGATCTCATTTGAAAATACTATTCGCAATATATACTTTCTAACATTAATCATGGTTTCGTTTACCGTGGGAAATCCGGAAGGGACATGGAAGAAGAAGATTGATCTATACCGCAGGATAAATAACTAACAATCTCTACAGGATAAGATGAACACGATTACATTTCTCAAGAATAAAACTTCTCGATATTATAATATATTGTGATATCAATGTCTGTCCTAAGCAGTGTGATTCGTCATTTGAAAAAATCGGCTTTGGTACGTTATACATTTACTACGTTCAACTCGGGGTCGATAATTTCTTTCTAAAAAGGATAATGTCGGGCAGTAACTATTTCAGTATGCAAAATGAATTATAATTTCTTTCGTTTGCAAATATCTTTTAATGTTTCTTCTCTAAGATTCCTGAAGATCAAAAGATGTAAAAACTAATTGATTAAAATATATGAATGAATGCATCTTCAAAA